TCTCTTTATTTACCAGTGGAACCTTTGGTATAATCTTTATTTCTAATAATACAAACAATACGAATGCTGTTTTCTCACTAGTGGGCCTCCTTTCCAATTCTCGTCTAAAATAGCTCTCTGTTTAAACAAATTCTCTGCCAATCCATATTAATGCTCAACAGTTTAAGATTCCCATATATGGTCATTCTAAAACCTAAATCCTTGATGAAACAATAGAGACAGCAAGTTGTTCCTGACCTAAGACATTAGTAAATCTTTCCGGAGGCCTAAAATATAACTGTAATATTCAGTAATATTAGACTTTTATTTTAAGCCATGAACTTCACTAGCAAAAAGTGTAGGAACATCTGCTAAAAGGATTCTAATTTCAAATTGTGAGCACTGGGCCAATCAATGTTTGGGCCGTTTTCATCTAAGCGTATTAACTAAAGATACTCCAGGTAGCTGAAAAAATATCATTAATTGTATCCCTGTTTTCAGTATTATTCAAGCTTTCTCTAAGGAAATAAAGGTAAAGCATGTTTTCCCAGAAACTTTTGTGTACACTTTACTGCTTTCCAGGGAACGAGGTGGTCAGAGTCCAGGCATACTTGCGTAATGATGACAGCAGCGACAGGATTAAAATGTTGAATATCTTCTAACTATCTTCTTGACATTAAATTGAGAATAAAATTTTTCCTGCAAAGGTAATTGTATACAAAGTGGGCTTATCTGAGTGGTTTATAGATCTTTAAAAAATTGCCTCCTCATGTTGCATCGTGTTTCATTAACTTTGCAGGCAGTTCTAAACAACTACAAATATTTTGAAATTCTGAAATATACAAAAAATGTGGGATTATGTGCAGCTTTAAAAGCTTCTGGACATATTTTTAAACGATTCTTTAATAATGCCTGAAAAATGCGCAAGAGCAAACACATATTTGTAAGTGTGATTACCTATTTTGTGAGCTGATCACCTTTTCCACGCGATTGCCTGTTTTTGGCTAATTTGGCAATCCTTGTGTTGGCAAATTCCAACTGACTTCACTGATAATTTAGTCTGTGTGAGAACTGCAATTATGGAAGTGCCTCTTTGTGAATCCCTGTGCTCGCACATACATGCAGCAAATAAATTCTCTTCCAGAATTTAAAGGACACGTGGGAAGAAGATCCTTTGAAAATGTGCTGCTAACATGACTGAAGTCAGTGACCAACTGAAAACATGCTTCTTTTTACAAAAGCAACCAGTCCTTTTCTAATCACCTTTATCATTTCATCCCAGAAAGGTATACCAATCTTGCAGAAAACTGGGGAAATCTCAATTTCTTTTTTCATGGTGTAATTCTGTGTGGTTGCTTGATTTTCATTTCTGACCGTGTGGCAAACAGGTTTGTTAACATTTTGACCAAATTTGCCCTTTGGTTATGTAGCTTATTACTGCGTTCCATGATGGATGTTGAAGTGTTCCTTGCATTTTTCCCATTAGGACATGGGATGGTTAAGTGCACAGCCAGAGGATGCAGCTTTTCAAGGAAAAGTCACTGGCAGTTGTGTCTGTGTCCTTGGAAGGAGATTGTCACTGTTAACGTGTGAAGTGTGTTTGACCAGAAATAGTTGCTTTTACTGTTTGTTAGTTTAAGGTCCAGAGTGCAGGTGAGTGGATGGCCATTCTTGGGTTGGTGCGACCTGCCTGCCTCTAAGTGAGCCTCTGGCCTTGAGACTGACTTAGTTTTGTGGTCACCCAAGGTATGGCACAAAGACCAGCTTCTCATTTAGAACTGAATGAGGACGTTTCTTTGCAGTTCTGTACGTGCTGTCAGGGAAGCAAAAGGAAAGCTCAGTGAAGGTAAGTTCAGATACAAGCTTTGGAAGCATCACATCTAGCTTGTACATCTATACAATATTTCATACGTGGTTCTGTTATTTCCTGCAGTTGAATCAGGAAAGGTAGGAATGGGCCGGAAGACATTCAGGACATAGACCTGCCTGTAATGGAAGTAGGTAGTAAAAAAAGAAGTCTTATCTCACGTGCATCATGTAGACCACATAACTCAATGAACCACAATGACTGCAAGATAAGTAACTGTTCTCTTTCCTTCCTGATCTTTTATCCTCAGAATTGAGCAGCCTGAAAACCATTGCTCAGTTCCCAAGTAAATCATAAATTAGATGGACTTCGTGGGGCTTATCCTAGTTGTGCAGGTCTGTAAAACATTAGCAAAGTGTTGTGTGCTTTAGCGTAACTGGGAGCTTGTACTTCAAAGGGGGTAACAATAGCAGGAGAGAGGGGCACATCTGAGGTGCAGAATAAGTAAGGTGGAATGTTTTTGTTTCTGCACATACACTGTTGTTGCCTTAGCCTGCATTCATCTGTTTGCCTCGTAACTCTTTCCGTGCTAATTATTTATCCTTTTCCTGTTTTGTGATTTTGTTTCCCTCACTTTCCGTGTGTTGTTTTAAGAAAGTGTTAAAATAAACTTGATAGCAGTGAGACATAAATGCATTTTAAAGCTAAGCACGTTTTAAACTTAAGTGCCTTGACAAATAGGTACACTTTGCTAAAAGAGGGCTTTAGTAAGACGAAGCTGGGGTAGCGTTTGATGGGGACAACAGCCTTAAACATATCTTTTCATTGTTGGAAATAAAAGGACTTAGATGTAAAGCTGTTCATTCAGGTAGTGATGGCCTCCAGTGCTTCGGTGGGCTTTGTAGGCAGAGGAATTCAAAAGAAAACCCCTCAGCCCAGCTTTAAAGTCTTAGGAATGCTTTCACTGTGGGAAGAAAAATTCTTCAAGGTAAGGCCCCTGTTGGAGTAAAGCCTTTGGAGCTATCTACTGTATGTCTACTTAAATCTAAAAGAAAACTCTTCAGACCACCCACATCTTTCTTTGCTTCATTGTTGTTTTCAGTTTGCTTTTTCAGAGGGATTAGTGCTAGAGTAAACTCCATCGTCTCGCTGCCTTGAAAAAATTCAATTTTGTGTAAAGTGAAAATTAGACTCTTAAATCTGCAAAGCGAGCTGTTTATCTTACAAATTTATTCTTTTTTATTGGGCCACACATATTCTAGATAGAAAGATAAAAGGCAAATGGATAACAGGCCATCATTTAGAGTGACATATAGCAAAACATAACCAGTCGACTTATTCTGTAAATTCGTCCTGAGTGGCTTGTTAGCTTTATCTATATATTTATCTATAATGCTCATATAGTATTTATTGAAAACAAAAATAAAATCCTGCAATTTATCATCATGCATTCTGTATTTTGCACTTCACAAATGTTTTTTGCAGTCAGGAATTCTCTTTCTCCCAGAGCGGCTTAAGACATGAATATATACAACTTTGGAGAAGAACAATGAAGTGGAAAATCTAAACTCTTTAGGAAGCTTGGAATTATGGACTGGCACCTATATCTGTTTTCCTGGGTTCTGAAAGACAATGCACTCTGCATTATGTTCTTTCACATACTTGTGAATAATTCAAACTGACAATTACTAGCCCTGTAAACCTAAATAGTGTTCTGTAACCAGCAGCCTAAGCAAAGCCAGAAAATATTAAACAAGAATGTCAATTTCTAGAATCAGATTTTGACTTTTGAAAGTTAGCAGTAACTTGATGACATGCATGACTAAGATAAGCATATGTACATTTTTTGTCACACAATCATCCCTTATTTCAACTTTAACAAAATCGTTTAGAGTGACCATTTAATAATAAATAACGAAGTGCCTGTTTAGTTTTACCTTTTCCACCAGTGTGGTAGCTGGATCTCTGCTATTCTGTGAGCAGTTTTTATTAGAGCAAAACGTCTAAATCTTTCTTACGTCCATCACTTCCATTTAAAGGGAAATGCTGCATAAACTGCGCTGTTTTCTCACAGCTTTACTTACATATCAGCCGGGTAGAGAACAAGCATTTTCAGTCAGTAGTTCATGGTTGAAATAATCGAGACTCTACGTGCAGATTTAAACTATATGCTTTCTCCTTCAATAGAGACCACGTAGCTCAGCCTTTGCATCCAGGACTGGTAATGTGCCCATGTGTATTGCATGCCCACAGTCGTAAATCCAATTCAGAATTTCAACGTGCACCGCGGTACTTTTTGGTGATAATGTTAATTGATACTTGTATGTGATATAACATGACTCTGTAAGAACAAGATGATAGCTGAATCTTATGCGGTACGAGTAATGACTTTTTAAAACCATTGTGCATTTTGTAATTTCTGTGCCAGTTTTTTTCTAAGTTATTTTGTCCGTAGCCTGCTCGAATAATAGCAGCTTCTTCAGAATGGCTGAGAATTTTGGTTTCTTCCTATGGTGAGAGAGATAAGATGTCCTGGAGTTTCACCCATTGTATTGCAATGCAAAGAGTAAGTGTAGCTGTGAAGATGGAAGGAGAAAGCCTGGTAGCTACGGGTGAAGGGTCAAAGGAGTCCCCTCTCATCTGACCGGATTTTCCATCAGCTTTCCCTTAATATGAGGTCACTCACCAGGTCACACGTTGTTTCTCTAGTGCTGGAGCGTTGCAGAAGAAAGTTCATTAGCTTTGCGTGTAGGCATTGCCATTTCAGTTGGTCTGCCTGTCCCTGTGATTCCATTTTTATGGGAGGTTTCAACATGCTGATGCAAACTTTTTCCCTCTAAAATCACGCATATTTTTACAATACATACAAATTAAATAGACTCAACAAAACAACAATTTAAAACTTTTGGGGGAAAAATTAATAGGAACTAAGCAAAAGAAGAAATCAAACCAGCTGCTGACACAGCTGTTTCTTTTCTTGTATAATTCAGCTCAATATAAAGGTACCATATGCTGCTTAAAATGATGATAGGAAAGATGAAATAATTTAAGAGAATAACAAGAAAATACATGAATTGTCAGCATTCTGTCAGATTTAAAGAATGAAATAGACAGGTGTAGTATTGGCATGTTTAACTTTGTGTTGTGTTAGCAGTTTTAGTGAGAAAACTTCTGACATGTGCTGAAGTGATGTGAGATCATTTCTGTGTTGCAGACATTGGAGAAGAAGCTGGGAGATCTGTAGGAGTCCAGCAGCCAGCTTTACTGAGAGACAGGAGCCTTGGTTCTGCCATGAAAGACTGCCCATATTGTGGAAAAACATTCAGAACATCACATCACTTAAAGGTCCACTTGAGAATACATACAGGTGAGAGGAACAACAGGAGCGGAGCGCTGTCTGCTCATGCGATGTGTGGGGGGGTTTACATACGTGCGGTGAGGAGCCTTAATTCCCAGGGTAGATTTGGATTCATTAGCTGGAGAGAGTCTTTTGAGAAAGACATATGACAGTCTTAAATAAAAGCACAAGGAATGTGTTGTTGGATAAAGACCACTTTAATAGAATCGTCTTTTCCCAGTTGAGGTTATTTCTGTCTCCTTCCCTGCTTCATCACTGTTTCCTTCAATTACCCTTGTCCTTCAATAGGCATAAGCCTATTGGTTTCAGACTTAGTTATACTAACTGCTTCAAAGGCCTTCCTTAGCATCTACTTAGGGATTCTGTATGTTTTGCTCAGTTACTATTTTTGTTCCATTTAACATGCTCATTTTTAACCTCTCACTGTTCCTATGAATACATCAGCTTCATGGATCTGCTTTTTTTTCTTTCTGCATTAGAACTCACTCAACTTACTACTTGTCTGTAATAAAACTTACTGAGATTTGCAGCACGATAGAACAGATTTCTACGTTTTATTTTAATAACAAAACCAGATTTTCTGCCCTACAGAGACTTACTACTGGTCTAGATTCTTTCTTTGTTTTTGGGTATCACTGCTCTAGATTCTAGAAAAATACAACCACACTATTTTAATTATAATACTACGTTTGCTAGAAGTATATATGTGCTTGGTAGGGTTCACTTGGAGACGCACTATAGATTTAAGAAGTGCTATTAGAACTGTATTTAAAATCAATTATAGAATATTAGTATCCTCAGATCCTGTAGATGTCATTTTATATGGTCAATCTGATGCTGTTTTCTTCCAATTCCTAGATGTTGCAGTAGAGCTTCAGGGAGCGTGCAAAGCTGGAGATTTAGGACATTTTGTGGGCAGGCACAGTGGGCACTGCAGATGTGCAGTCATTTTACTTTTACTGCATTTTAAAGACATTTCAGGGTGTTCCTGCTACTTTTCTGATCAATAGGTAAAATAAATTGCATGAATAAATACTTTCCAGTTGTACCTCTCATGTGAAAAATGTCACTGTAATTTTTTATTTCACGGAGATAGAAGATAAGAAGTATTGGCCTCCCTTCTCAAAACCAGCAATCACATTTCTCTTATGTGCTTGCACAGGTGTAAAGCTGAGTATTGGTTTTGTGAATATAAAGCCTGAGTTTGAAAAAATGACAAAGAAGGCTGAAATTTATTTAAAGGAAAACATTTCACTGATGAAATGAAAAAGTTTCTTCGTTTTATTTTTCTCTTTGGAGTAGGAGTTGACCACAATGTTTTTACCTGATTTTTGCAATTGAGATTTATTATTACTAGGTATTTTTTAAACTGTAGTCTCTGTTTGGATTGCAGTCTGTTTAGGGCAGGAATAGGCTTTTCTATGTCTTGGGCTTGGTAGGAAAACTTTAATGCAGTACAAACTCTATGCATGTGTTCGCCAGCACTGCAAAAATAAAACCAGTTATTTTATTGGGAAATAATCCTATAACTATGAGCTTTAAACAATTTAACATTTTTACTAATGGAGAAGCAAAGGAAAATTCTTTAAAATAACCCAAGGATACCCATCTCTTTCTTTTATCTTATTATGTAGAGGTCATTTTGTTGTTGTTTTGGAGGTGGCAATGATCATGTGTTTGGTGTTTGTGGCTTAGAACTAATGGGAAGTGAATTAATTGCGATGGAAGTACTCCTTAAAATTTTATATTAAAACTTAATAATCAAAATTAAAACAAGAAGAACTAAAGCATGTAAAGTATCACATAAAAAAGAAACATCATACAGAATATTAAAACAATATTTGCAATATATTTAAAAGGCATTATAATTTTAAAATAGATAAAGATCAATTTCCATTAGGTTGAGAACAAAGTATTTGTAAATAATGACAAGAATATGTTGAAATGGAGCAATGTTTTACATATTGGAAGTAATCATAATAAATATTGTAAAAATGTAAATTGGCAAATTACTAAAGTTATTAAATAAAAATTAAGTTGCATCGCTCTAAATGGAAAAGATGTAATAGATATCAGTTATTAAACAAATATTGGTTAGCTCACACTACCAGGGACAGTTTCCTGCTTTTTATGTCATACTCTGTCTTTATTATATGCCTGGATCATATAACTGACTGATAAAAAACACTTTACTGTGTTTCTCCACTACATTAACTCAATTACTGTTCTTGTTCTCACAGCACCTGTTTGTTAGAGAGGAGCTCAAGCAGTTCAGCAGAAGTCAGGTTCCTTCGAACATCTGTGTGTTTGGAGGCACATGAGTAGGTTGGTTTGGTACGCATGCCAAGACAAGACCTGAAGTCTGATCCAGCCAGGAGGTGCCTCTATGGCAACTGGCCCGAAAAAGCTAGAGAAGCTTTTTAATCCTTCACGAGCAGAGGGTGCTATGCTCTGTTTTAAAAGCATTGGCTGGTGACTTGGGTTGTTTCTTTTTTTTGTTGGTTTTTGTTTTTTTTCGAATAACCTTCTCAAAACCAAACCAACGTAAAGCAGCCACCAAAAACTCAGTGGAGTCCCAACCTATGATTGTAGGACTTTCTGTACTACTTTTGCTCTCTGCTTCCAGCCTGCCAGAGAAAAGTGTGGCTCTTCTTTTAAGAATTTCGGAAGAGTGTCAGTAATGGCATTCCAAAAGAGTCAAAGAGCCATCAGTCAGGATATCAGGACAAGTGAAAACTGGATCCAGGTTGTAACAGGCAGTAGAGGTGTGGAGGAGCCACTTTGTGATTCATCCTCATGGTTATAAACTAACCATAGTACAGCTGTGAAGGCTGTAACACAGAAGGCTCAGAGGCCTTTGGATTTTGAGAGAAGGAAACTTGTCAAAGTATCTCAGACCAATAAAATGCAAAAGTTCCCACAGTTTATGTTTTTCTCCTCTGCAGGCAGCAGATTAGGGTGCCACCATTCAAGGGACTGAGCATCTCTTTATGTTCCTTAGTGCTTTGAGTTCACACCAAAACCAAAGTTGTGCATGTTTTCCACTTTACATACCTAAAACTTGGGACAGCATAGAAACAGTTAAGTGTTTTAAAAGTTACAATTGCGTATGTTCTGCTTTTGGCAAGCAACATATGATGGGAGGACCAGTCCCCAGATTAGCTCTAGCACCTCTTTGTGTCTTGCATTAGCACTGAGGAACTGCTGCAGATGTAGTCCACTTGGAATTCTTGCGATCGTTAGGTGCTCAGGTATATTCCCAGAGTGACTGGCACAATTAAATCTCTTGTGTAATGAAAACACTTTCCATGAGTCAAGTATAGCCCTGAAGAAGGTTTAAATTGTGCGATACCAAAGAACCCTAAGGTAGAATAGGAAGAAGCTTAGCCAGGCTGCGTCAATTAACGGAGAGTATGTTTTGATATGTGTCACATGTATCTCACATGTATTAAGTACATTTGTGGTGTTAACTGCATTTTCCCTTGGAAATGTGATTGGCCAATTTTAAAACGTGCTTAGAAGAATTGATGAACTACGATAAAAATGGTGCTGTTTTAAATGAATTCAATTCACATTTTCTTCCTAAAAAAAGACTGCCTGTTGCCATTCTCTGAAGGCGCTTGTAGTGGGATGAGCAATATGAATAATTAAGGAAAATGGGTATGTGTGCTCCAAGAGGAGACAATTTTGGTATTGAACATCCTTTATTCTTACATTTCTAAGATGAACTAAAAGGACTTTTCATTTTTCTAGATTTCTCCAGATTTCCCATCTTTAACGCTGTACAGCATGCCTTTTCTCCTGTCTTAATGACATCCCAAACTTTTGTTGAAAATAATTGATTGAATTTAAATTTCCTTAAAAGTTTAAGAGGTAATGTTACAGTATAAATTTCCTACCAAACACTAAGTAGGGAAATATCCATTAGTGAAATTAACTACAGTTTCTAGGTAGCTAACAATGTGCAGTATACAGTAGGGCATGGCTAATGAACACTGCAGTGGGTGATATTTCATTATACAAATTAATGCTCACATTTTAATGGGAAAGTCACATAATGAATCTCAGCTTCAGTGACAGCAATTAGAGACACAGATTGTCCCCTTCTGGACAAGGCACTGTTTAGCAATAAGCAGCTGTGTAAAAAGTCTTCAGTTTTACAACATATATATATATGCTTTGGGGGAATTAGCGTGCAGTTTATATTAATGTACTGAATCTTCCCTGCAAAGGAACAACTGTATTTATCTCTCTGCATTTTAACTAAGTAAAGACATGTAAAAAGACTAAATAAATGTTGTGGATGAGGTATAAATAAATGAGAATATTCAATTACAAAACTTTATAAAAATTAAACTATTTTATTGTAATACCTCATGTACAATTGAAAAATATTTAATACATGGAGACAAAAGCATCTGTCCTCTTAAAGGATAGGACAATTTCATCGTATAGAATAGAGAAAAATAGCTGGTAAAGGAAAGTGGCATCGAGAAGAAGTTAACTAGTATTTCTGACAAACAGATTAATTGTGTGGTGAAACATGTGCAGGATCCAAAAATAATCCTACAGAACCTTTGATATTCCATTTGGTTTAAAAAGTGTGAAGTGAATGATTAGAATGATAAAAGAAATTACCATGTAAGAATAGGCATAATAATGAACTAATTAAACCATACAGCAATTCATTTCTAAAATATCTACTGCACAATGGATAAAATAGGTTATCAATAACTGTTTCAATGGTAAAATAAAAAATGCTATAAAATGTTTTCAATATTTTCATTAGGCAGTATTCTCTGGAATTATAAGATGTTTGATTTCATTTGCTTTGCATGAAGGAAAACTATCTTGTTTAGAAATTATGGGATCCCATTGAGACTTCCATTGTCCCTGAGTGTCCATCGAAACCTCCCTACTGGCTGCTGGAGCTTTAGGTGTGGGGTGCACAGACCTCACTGTGCTGAGGAGCAGAGAAGCACAGTGCAGCACAGGCAAACTCCATAAGA